GGTATTATCATTTGTGGACTAAGTCATTAATTGTCTGGGTCCATTCACGAACGAATTTCCAATACACACGATTAACGCCTAAAACATTGATCACTAGAACTTGTGGGAGGGAGAATGCGATCAACCTAAAGTTAATTCGTGTCATTACACATAGAATGGACCCACTCTTTTACTCACTCTTATGTATTTATTTATTTATTTATTTAAAAAAATATTTTTTTATTTTATAAATTATCTTATTTATATATATAGGATTTATCTGTCATAAATTAAAATATAAATTAAAAATGTAATTAATATATTTTTTAATATTAATTAATATAAAAAATAACACAAATTGATATTAATTTTATCATCAATATATGTATTATTTTAATTAAATGATTTATTAAATAAATATTAAATTTTATTTTTTAATAACAATTAATATCAAAAAAACATTATTAACATATACCTTTAAAATACAAATTAAAATAACCCACATATATTATCTAATTTAAATTTAAAATCTCGAAAAAAGTACTACTAATTGCTCAAGTTCGTTATTATTCACCCGTATTTAAAAGGAGTTTCAAGGACATTAACGAAAAGAAAAGAGTAATTCTTGGTCCCATGACAACTTTTGGCACCTGTGGGCCGGCATAAGTCATTAAATTGCCTAGGTCTATAGATAGATAAATTTCCGCTCTTCATATTTCAATAGGGAATTTTTTAATCTATATCTTAAAATATATGGTAAGCATATATTTATTATATTTTTAACAAATTTATATAAAAAATAAAAATTAATTTTAATTTTAGTAAAATTTTAATTTAAAAAAATAAAAAAAATTCACAACTTAAAATATATTGGATTGTACACAGTCATTGGGTAGAAGTAAACTCCCTAATATTGAGGGTTCTACCTTCTATTTGATGTCTTATATTTTATAGTTTAATACAGTTTGAATAATAAATATGACACTTTAAAATAATTTAAGTAATATTAATATTAAAAATAAAATATAATTTTATAATTTTTATACAAATTTTTAGTAAAAAATATAATATATATTTTTAACCTCTAACCTAAAGACACTTATTAAAAAAATAAAAATATTACAGAGATAATACCACATGAAATTTTAAATTTATAATATATATGTATTATTATATAATTAATTTTTTATTAAAAGTCTATCTGTAATATTATAAATATCTACTTATTTAAAATCA